GTTTTGTGATAAGGTGTAATTAATCTAGTACAAGCAGGGTAAGAGGACTCTCTGCTAACTGCTTTTGACAGTCTGGAGGCAGGGAACACTCTACTGAAGCTCCAGGATGAAGTCAGGCAACAGCTATTCTTTGTTGTTGGCAGCCAGTCAAAATATGAAACCTTACTACTCTACATGATGCTGATTTGCTTACCTCATTTCTGGGCTGCACTGATACTCACCATAAAGTAACTGTAGGATTACTGTTTTTTAAAATACTAAAAACTGTATTTTTTACTTTACTAAGTAAAAAATAAAAGTAAAAGGTAGAAAATCTGATTCGCTGCATGACTGTCTTCAGCCTTCTGTACTATCAGCTGAGAAATAAATGGTTAACTTCATTCCTAACCCAAACACCCTTTTGTAGTTCCATCTGTAACCCTAGAATAGGTGCTGGCTAGCAAGAAGGTCTAGGTGATAAAAGCTGTCACCTTATTTCCCTGCTGACGTGCAAAAGCCAGAAAAAGAGTGAAGAAAAGGCCTTTTCTTATTACTTCATTGTTTAAAGATGTTTTTAACCATTGTTTTATATCTTCTGATGTTGTCCTGGAGGTTGTAAGATAGGATTGAACTTTGAGAGATTAATTCATTTCTACTGATTTAGAATCAGTATTTAGATATATTATACTGGGTATTCAAACTAACAGTAATGACTGATGCAACCAATTACTTATTTCACTTTCTTGTCTTCTGTCAACAATATATATGAGTTTTCATTCTGAATGTATGCAGCAAATTCTTCTTCCATGTTACACTATTAACTTCTAGGAGAAAAAAAAAAGTTAAAAAAGTGAAAAATAAGTGCTGTTTTTTATTTTCTTGAGTTGGGTCTTTGTAAGAGTCTTCCCACGCCTCAATAGTATACTGGTGATAGAACCAAGTTGGTTTTTTTGGCCCTTACAATCAGCCCCCTGGAAAGGAAATTAGTCCCTGCAAAAGGAAAATTAACAAAACACAGATTTTCATATGCCATGGATATAAGCTACATCCCTTGTGCATGTTGTCTTCAGGCAGCAAGCACATGCCATTCTAAATAACAGTCATGCTTTGCATTAGCTTCTTCATGAAAAACTGAACAAACAGTTCATAAGCATGTGGGGCTTTTTCTGGTTTTAGGAGGGGGTTAATATCTTTGTTAATAAACTTTGCTTTTTTGGAAACTGAATTTCTTCTAGTGCCGGTGCTGTTTCTAATTGCAGCTGTCTCAAGCCACCACTGATTTTGTGAGCAGGGTGCAGCCTTTAACAAACGAAGGCAGATCTGCACCATGACTAATCACTCCAGAAGTCCATGTACCTCCTGAGCCCAAGTGGAGTGCTCTACACATTATTCCTAGGTACTATTTTTGTCATGGTCCTACTCCATTATTTTATTACAGTGTTTTGCTCTACTTAAATTAGTAGAGCCTGAATCTTAACCACACAATTCTATGTTAGTCGTGTCTGAGTAATGTCCAGATAGAAAGGGATATTCTTCCCTTTTAGCTCCTAGTGAAGGTTTTATAAACAAAGCAGCCTGGGGAAATATAAATGTATTCTTGTTCATCCTAAAATTAGAGGTGACTCTAAAGCATCTCTAACAGGCAAAATGGAATCTTTCTTTAAGTTTTATATGTTGATTGCACTTCATGTAATAAGGCCATAACTCAAACTTGGTTTAGGCCGAAAGGAAATTTCAAATTCTTACTTATTTAGCAGAATCTTAACGTTGATAATCAATCTAGTAGTCACTTTCTTAAAAAGCAATTTCTTTGGCAATTTTTGCATATTAATTAGGTTGTCATTGAGTTACTTCTCTTTCGGGGAATATCTGTCTCCATCACTATCAACAAATGTAACTAGCAAGGTTTAATGTAAAGACCTAAAAAGGTTAAATAGCAAGTACAGTCTGGATAACCTTACTTAACTGCCTTTTTTTTTTCTGAAGGTTATTGCTCCTGGCTTTTTTACTACTTATATTTTTTGTCTCAGAAAATAGCTGATTTTCCAGAGCAAATGCTAAGAGCCATTTTGTGTGGCCATCCTAATCCCATTTATGGCCTTGCACTACAAATTTTCTTGCTAGTAGTAGTGAAAGTTCCAGGGTGGTGCAGGTGTGTCATACATAGCGAGAGAATTAGGAGCATGAGCTAAGATTCTGTGTACTACTAGAGAATCTCTCGTTGAGATAGAAACTCTTAATGATGAACAGCTCATAAAGAGCCAGGAGTAAGGGGAGAGGCCAGGCCATTGGCAGACCACAGATTTTATGGCCTTGACATGAAGGCTTGAATTTCCTTTCACAGCTGTTGCAGAAAGATTGCAGCATCCATCTAGGGTTTAGAGGAAGGCGAGAGGAGCTGGAACAAAACTGGCTCTTCCTCATTTGTTCAGCTGCAGAACCCATTCTTCAGAATAGCAGCAGGTTGGAGAGCCCTGGGTTATGCAAGAGTGTCCGAAAGCCATCTGACTGCCCATAGTTGGTAACTCTGTGAAGAAAACCTTGCTGGAAACCCCTGAGGAGTGGCAGGCATGCCACACTAATGGCAGCTGCAAGTTGGTGACTGCTGGGAGCTGCCTACAACAAAATATAGGACAGCTTTCCATGTGAGAGTGCTCTTGCAAGCCATCAGCCTGTGTACATCCAGAACCTGCTGTCACTAGTGAAACTGCAAAAGTATTGTCTTTTCTCATTGATGCTCAGCTGATTTTATTCCTGGGTTCTAAACTCCTTCAACAGCTAATTGCTCGAAGTGCCCTGGATTGGGTAAATGTCTGGATAAGAACTAGATGTGCTGCTTTTCAATTACTTAGTGAAGAAAAAAGAATTTGAATGTTAGTGTCTAAATTGAGCCTTTTCTGTCTCCCGAGTACACTTAGCAATCAAATAATCAATCTAGATTGGTTTCCTAGTGGAAAAAAAAAAGGTCCATGTTCTGACACTTAGGCTTGCAAAATTGGCCTCTGTTACTACATGGTTGACTGCCTTTTTGCACAAATACAGCATGGCAAACTGTGGAACGACTAGCATTTAGCCAGTTTGACACAGAATTTCTTATTCCTCTATATTCAGTTCTTTGGCCAAAATACCAAGATTTCAGTAATGTTTCGTCCTGTAGTGGGTATCAGTGTGAAGATAGATCTCCCAAAACAAAACTGGTCCTCTTTGGCATGTCATGACGCATGTTTAGGATCCCAGTATTGTCTATACTATTAAGACCGTTTTTCAGCTTATGGTGTTGGGCAAAGTCACCAAGCTCTGGATTAATTTTGTTCCCTTTAGCTTTTATCCACTCAAAGTGGGAGGCTGTCACACCCCAAAAGTGTATCTTTTCAAACTATCCAGTGTTAATCCCTTTACTCTTTACAACAGCAGTAGCTTTTTATAGCTAGTATTGCTTCTTGTGGTGCTCTGCAACTTAAGCAATTAGAGTTAACAGAGTGGCACTGAAAATTACATGAAAATGTTGACCTACAAAATATGGAAAATGCTCCAGGTTTTGGCATCATTGGTTTTGCATGGATATTCTTTCTGCAGAATTGTTTTGTTATTTGATCCCCAATAAGCAGCACAGCGAATTCTAGCTAAATTTGGCCTTAAATATCCTGTTCCAATCTCTTCCATGCCTGGTACGTCAGATGAGATTTGCACGTTTAGGGATTTAGGATCCCTTTCCAGGCTGGTACCAGCCCTTCCCCAGTGCTGGCCACCTCCTCCTTTCTTCCTTTTCAGTTCATAACATGTGGACCTTGAGATGATTTTCTGAAACAGTCAAATAATTATTACTGATTTTTATCTAATGCTTTTAACTAATCCTTTGTTGACACATTAGGCCAAAATATTCTGACATCTTTTCCAAACTTTGCCCCTTAAAATCACACAAAATCTCTTCCACTTAATAGATTTTCCAGAAAGAAAATTCTGGAAGAATGGTGGCAAGAGAGACTGAACAAATAATCTAATCCATGAGCAGTTCTACCTGTGTAAGTCTTGATAGAGGTTTCGATAATTTCCAGCAATGGAGCCCCCACAGCCCTCCCATGCAATCAGTTCTGCTACATGACCATTCTTATCATTAGAAAGTGTTTTCCAATACCTACCTTCAAGTTCCTTTTCCATTCTCTCCCAGTTACTAACCATTTATGAAGAAACTACTCTTCAATCATTTAAATCCTGTAAGGCTATAAAGTAGGAAGTTGATACAGGCAGTAAATTCGAATGGTTGGTTTATTTCTTAACAGGTCTCCGTATCTGATATTTAGATTTATATGTCAAATTCTCTTCTTCCTTTTGAAGGTAAGAATTCATGGTGATTCAAATGAGTCAGGAACCTAGAAAACAGAGCATACAGTGGTTTAAATCCTGTTGTATCTGTGCTAAAATGTAGTAGGAGTTGCTGAATTTGAAAGCATAAAAATATGAGATCCTATGTTTTTTTATGAAATGGCAACAAAATGGATTTGCCTTTACAAAAATCCATTCCAGGCCGTGTTAATCGATATACATTTGTAGTGTTTGAATGGAAAACTTTATTCTGTCTTTCTCATGATAACTAAACAGTTTTATATAAACTAACATCCAGTTGTACACTGTTTTTTTCTTGGAAAAAAATAGTTTGAAATCACAGATTTAATCTGATAAATGATGCAACGTTTAACTACTTTCATTACTTGCAAGTTCAAGTTAATAGCTAGATTCAATGTAAATTACTTCTTTTTCATTCGAAAGAGATGCTTTTCCTCTCCACTGCTATTTGGCGCTGATAAATGTATCACAGGAAACAGCCTCCAAATAAAGGAAAACCATGATTTTTCATGTAGGACAGTGTATCAAGTGCAAAATTAGATGGTGCAGACAATGAAAGGAACCGATCTCTATGACAACATAGTCTTAAAATAAGAACAGAAAGCTGTTCAACTGTCAGCTGAGAAATGGCAATGCATCCTTTGCCACAGGTTAACCAGAAGTGTTGATGCAGAAGAATGAGCTTCTTTAGGCAAGTCGGACTTTTACTCTGGAAGAACTGGATCCTCCGGAAAAGACAAAAGGTAAAGTATTAGTCTTTGGATTTCAGCTTTGGACCATGCACTCTGCTGAATGAAGTGACTGGTGCATTTATCAGCATGTAAGAATCACAGATTCTTCAAAGAGTTGAATGTGATCTTTGGATGGGCCTGCTGTCTGGGATCTTGTCTGGTGCGGATTGCAAAGCTGCTCTTTACAGACCAAACATAGAATACTTGTATAGGGGGATTATTTAACAAATAGTATTGTGTAACAGGATACGAGTTATGGGTAGTAACATTTTTCTATTTTCACATAAAACGATCTGTTAGAAAATGTTGTGGGCACCATTCAGCTCTGGGAGGTGTGATTCTTAATTTTAGTTTGCTCCTTATACCCAGCTGCTTCTAGCCCTAAAGTTCACAAAGATTTTACCTCTTTTTTTACTTTTACTTAATGACATAAGTGAAGTGAAAATCAGCAAGGTATTTTAAATCCTTTCAGATCTTCTTAGATCTTATGATACTTTGTCTTAGAGCAAATTTATCTATTATATTCTACCTTATTTCATCAGTGCTCTTTTTTTCTTTTTTATGTTTTCTTTAAGCCAGACATTCTACCTTATTTCACCAGTGCTCTTTTTTCTTTTTTATGTTTTCTTTAAGCCAGATATCTTACAGTCAAACAAAACCTTAAACTAGAGTCTTGGTCACCTGATGTACTGCAACTACTTCTGTCCAGCAAAGGAAATCCCTTTGAGGTCCTATAGAGATAGTCTACCTGTTTCAAACTAAAAATAATGAAGAAGTACATTAAGGCATCTGTGAGGCTGTAACAGTCATGCAGACAATTTGCCATGATAACAGAGATCAATAGGGTCAAACTGAGTTGAAATGAGATGAGATCAACCCATGGGATGAGTTGAAGTGCTTACCTGTGCCGACCTGATTTTAGCCATTAGGAATGAATCGTGATGAAATTTCCATGATCAAAAGATTATCTGATTTTCTTTGTGGATAAATTGAATGTCTTTTTTTTTCATAGCTTCCCTGCAGGCTTCCTCCTACAGTCTACATTGCCATCAAGAGCTCATGCATATAACATTGCCAGCTCATGATTTAATACATTATGAAAGTCACCAATCCATACTTGAGCAAAATTGCACCAAATATAAGGACCCCTTTTTGAAGCTGGACTTCAGTTACTGATTGTCAAGGAACTGTAGTAGTTTGGTTCTCAAGTTGAGAAAAAAAAAAAACATTGAAAAAACAGAAAATCCATGTTTTTCTGATCTTCAAATGTGTTGAGACAATTGCAAGCCACCGTTTTTTAATTTGCATTGAAAAAACAGAAAATCCATATTTTTCTGATCTTCAAATGCGTGTGCTGAGACAATTGCAAGCCACCGTTTTTTAATTTTTATCAAGTGGATCTTTTTGTAAATTCTTCAGTATTTTTAGTGTATGAAATGCTGTTTTGTTTAGTCAAATCTGCTCGGATATGTGACCCAAAGTGCCTGCTTGGGTTTCAGGCATTCTCTTTTTTCTTGTTTATTTTTTCCTGTAGAATTTTCAAAAATGCTAATGTGGTGTTTCCTGCTGTTGCCAGAGATCCCTTCCTGTGATGATCATTCCTAGCTTGTAAGCACAGTGATTTAATCCACAGCAGAGAAATCTTTTCTACACTCTGAAGAGTAAAACATTTTACAACAGAGTCAGTAAAAGGAACTTCCTTCTCTAAGTATATAAACCTACCTGCTTATTTGTCCATATAGACAAACAAGGTAGCCAAACCAAGAATCTGTCATGTCAAAAGTAGATGTAAAATTTTTTGGGAAAATCAGCCTGTTTTTTGGTAACCATCATGCTCTACCATAAATGAAGGCATTTCCAATCTTCTGCTCAATTTCATCATTTAGGCTAGTCTAATTCACAAGAGGAAAGACTTCATTACAGAGTTAACAGTTGATCCACAGCCAACTTAGATTTGTTAGATTGATATAGTCTTATCACTGTGCTTGGCCCATCACAGCTCCGTCTGGATATGACATTTCTCTGTGCATGTTGCTGGGATTTCTGGCTATTTATCTTATGGTTCTGCAGGCTTAAGCATTGCTTTCTGACCCTTCTAGTGAGTTGTGAGACCCCTGTGTGTCCTCAGGAAGAGTCACAGGAAAGAATCTGAGGGCTAACAGCACTTGGTCCGTCCTTATCGCATGGCACGTGTACCAGCTTGAAAGAAAGCTTTCCTTGTGCTTTAGCCTTCAATCCCTTCTAAAATAGCTAGCTCAGACAGAAAGGAATTACTGAATTCAAATCTGAGTATTTTGTATTTCCTGGGAATGAGGTAAGAATCGACATCTGAGAAACAACCCAGATTAACTTTGCAGCAAAGGCAGCAGCCAAGCAATCTCCCCAGTTGTTACCCCTCTGAGTTTATAGGTGTATAGTGCTTGTCCCAAATGTCTTATCAAATGGATGCCAATGGGTGCTAATCAGACCTTGTGGACTCCTGCTGAGTAGTGCCTGTAACACTGTATTCTGAGCTGTGCACAACAGCTGTCAAGGAGAAGAGCTATACAATGGCAGGTTTCCTTCTCTACTCGTTTTTTCATCTGTCCTTTGCTGCTGGTAAGATTTTTGTCTGACTTTAAAAACACCAGGCATGCGTAAATTCCTTGGTGGTAGTGGGGTGTTTTTGTTGTTTTATTTTAAAAAAGGAAGCCTTAAGAGAGAAAGTGTGAAATAGGAAATGGTTGCCTGGTGAAAAGCTTTCTACGCTTTTGCTGTAAGCATAAGCTGTGCTTAACTAAAGATATTAGACAAAGTTGTAGTGGAAAAAACAGGGGCGCTCAAAAAACCTGTTAATTATGCTGTGTAGTTTCTTTTGCCCTGCATAGCTCAGTTTGGAAAAAAAAAACAAAACAAACATTCAGGCGACCCATCTTGTCTCTGGCTCTGCTGCTGTATGCATTATTGTTACATATTTGGTGCCTGGTTAGGGAAGCAGCAGCAAAGGAAAGGAGGCAGGAGGGGCTTTCCTGTGCATGTGCTACAACCCTGGTTCTGGAGAGAGTTTGTCCTGACTGTTGCAGGGACGAGAAAAAAAGTGCCACATGGCTGGACACAAAAATCCCATAGCTGGTCCTCAGAGCCTAAAGCCTATGTCACAGGATCAAAGGGTTGTAGTTTCAAACCTCTGCCAAAACACACAGAGGCAGTAAAACAAACTGAAACACAGAGGTGGAGGAAACAAACTGAAAACCAGGCAGGATGTTGCTCTGTGGTGAAGCAGTGCCCTTGATTTTCTGTCATGACTGAGCGCTGGTGACAGTTCTAAGTGTGTTGAAAGATCTGGGCAATAAAGTGGCCTTCAATGAGACCTTGAATAAGGTGTTTAATCTTAATGTGTACGTTTCTCCCTGTATTAGAAAATTGGTAATGTTGAAGTGAATGATGATAAAAAGAAGCAAAAATAAAGATGAAAGAATGTAAGTTTATGCAACAGTCTTTTACCTTTGGGTAAGCACAGTGCACCGACAGCCTACTGATAAGCCCAGCATTGCGAAAGCGTGGCTCAATAAAAACCCCATGCTTTTTCTTTTTTGCATCTAATCTTTTTTTCCTGTATTGTTATAGAGTCATCCACTTTGTATAAAAACTGTTTAGACTTCTATCTGGCAGTTTAGGACTACCTGCCACCTCTTTTTACTTTAGTCAGGATGCTTAAACGTTTCTTTAGAAGAGGTGGAGAAGCCACTGAGTTAATGGTGATGCTTCATGGGGCTCTGATTAAATCCTTGCTATTTCTGGATGTCCTTTCCAAATGGTGACCAGGCAAGGGATAACCATGGGCACATGCTGCATTGGGCATTGCTGCTGTGAGAAGAGACCTCAGCCCTCTGGTCACTCAGTAACTGTGTACATGGTTCATCTGTAAAATTTATTTGTAATTGATTTTTTTCTTTTTTTTTTCTAGCTTCGTTTTCTGGTGGAGCTTGTATGGCCTCTGTCATTGTTTCTTGCCCTTGTATGGCTGAGGAAAGCTAATCCACTGTATCGTCAGAATGAATGTAAGAACATTTAAGATGTTTCAGTGCTCTGACTTGAGCTAGAAGTTTGGCTAGAAGTTCTCAGACAGAGATACCGGAACCTGTTTGCCAAGTATTATTCTCCAGTGGCAAAAGAACAGACTTTACTTCAAGTAGTTTAGTTATATATTGTAAGAATTACCAGCGAGGAGAAAAAAAAAATAAAAAGCTCTAGTTTTCCTGTGAGGTGCTTTGTTGTCAAATTTACTTGAGATCTCAAGATTCTATCAAGTTGTAGATTTCTGTAATACTGTTACTGAGAAAGTACTGCCTCACTACTTATTTTTTTTAAAAAAAAAAGTTAGCTCAGAATTTAGTTCAGTTAAAAAATAGCCATATTCCTTGTATCAGTGACTTATTTTTTGCTTAGTAAAAGAGAAACTTATATGATTTCTATCACATTCCTTCTGCAGTGAGGCAACACATCATGCTATTTAGATCACACAGGCTGCATGAGAAGAGACACCTGATCACTTATATTTTGTATTTCTGTACTCTAGGTCACTTCCCAAACAAGGCAATGCCATCTGCAGGAACGCTGCCATGGTTACACGGCATCTTCTGTAACATGAACAACCCCTGTTTCCACAGCCCAACCCATGGAGAGGGTCCGGGTGTTGTGTCCAACTACAACAATTCCATGTAAGCAGAGCTATATGTGTGAGACTGAGTTGCAGTAATGCAGGCCCACTAGGCAACTGCAGTTAGCCTGCTCTTGGCACCTGTTGAGCATTCATAGGCATGAATGATGCAGGGAGAAAGGATGGAGTACCCTCAGCCTGTTTGGAAAGGTCCCTCAGTGCACTGACGGATATTTTAAAGAATTGTTCTATGATGTGGATGAAAAGGGAAAGGTGAGTATTTAAGAAGACACTGTGGTGCAAATACTGGAAGACAAACATTTTCCATCACATCAGTTTCATTCCAACAGTGGTCAGCAAAATTGAAACAAAGCTCATGATGGTAGGTTTGGGCCTCTCTTGAAAGAGTTCAGTTGTACTAGTCCCTAGGGAACAGGTGGTCACTTAATAAAAATCCATCCTTTCTATTGCCTGCTGCTTAGTGAATGTCTCAGGATGAATCTTTTTTATATGAGAGGATGAAACCCTGAGCTTTCTTTTCTCATCACTTGAGTTGTCCCCTCTGAACGAGAGCTCTCATGAGTAGCAGCAAAGGAAAATTTGCACTGCCACTTCCTCTGTAGCACCTGTTTTGATATATACTTGCGAGACTTTAATCGGCATAGTAACCTTCAGATACTAAGCTTATTAACAAAATAGGAGGATGGGAGATTTCAGTGCTGTTAGTGAAAAAGAGCTGTGGGAGTGCTTCATTGCATTGTTTGTTATAGCTGAGTCATGAAAGGCAGTGTAGCAGACAAAGAGCCTTTGAATAAAAATCTGTTAGAATAGCTATAAAAAAAGGCCAAATCTCCCTTTGCAAGTAGTCCACTTTGGAGCATCCAATGATTAAAATTCATGAGCTAACTATGTCAAGGCCATTAAAGCTCCAGTCACATGAAAGTCTGTAGTTTAGAGTTAACTTAGCATTTGACCTTTAGTTCCTAGTGAACTGGATTTAAAATAGTCAGCTGGCCTTTTTTTGTGGGGTACAGTCAGTCACACTGCGAAACTAGAGGGTTCTGTTTTCTATACATTCTGTCTTTTCTAGCTTGCTTATTACAGAGCAAACTGTCCCTTTGTGAGTCAGAGTAAATCCAGTGCATTACAGAGGAAGCAAATACATTGTGTTTTCTTAAAGAATTTAGTCCTTCCTGTTTGCTGCTTCCTGTAAGCTAAAATAAGTCATGAGGACTGAGATATACCATTCCATGTATGGAAAAACACCGTTAAAGAAATGTAATAGCCTCCCCTGCTGCTAATAAGAATTTTTTCGTACTTTTTTATAATCACAGGATCTGATTGCATCCTTGCTTGAACTGCATGTTCTAACACAGAACCAGTAGTTGAACAGCTGCCTGTGACAGTTTGTCACTCTTGTTTTCCTGCCTCTCCTAGAAGAAATGTTTTGAAGGAACCTAAATGCCGCCGTTATATTGGAGGGAACTGAGTTGGGAGAGGGAGGAAGATTCTGTGTCTGAGTGATTCCGTGTCACTTACCTGGCTGAGCAAGGCTGCATGTGCCTAGAGTATCCCATCCAACTGCTGGAGCTGAGCCTGGGCCAGAACCAGAGCAAATTTGCACCATAGCTGTGAGGTGAATTTTGTCTGGCAAAGGTCCTGTCTCGTCAGCAAGGTCAGTGTGGCTAATCAAGAAAGTATATGAGAGGCCAACCTTCTGTAACACCAGTAGCCCCCTTAAACCTCCTGTGGGCTTCCAAATCTAACTGAATCCCAAGCCACCTGGAACGACTCTGAACGACTCTGTTGACACCACAAAACTGAGCTTCAAGTTTCAAGACTGGGGACAAATTTTTTTTTTTTTTTTTTTCCCCTCATGCCTAACACAGAGAAAGTCAACTTTGCTTTTTTTATGTGAAAGGTTCCCAAGTCATCAGTCTTAAATTATTGCTGGTTCACTATTTCTTCTTTAGCCTTGCAAGGGTATATAAAGATGCTCAGGAGCTCTTACTGGAAGCCCCCGAAATCCGTGACCTTGGCAGAATCTGGGAAGAACTGATCATTATGACTCAGTTTATGGAAACAATGAGAACTAATCCTGAAAGAATTGCAGGTAATTGTTTTGTCTCTATCCTTTAGACTATTGAATTTTTCCTTCTGAGAGCTGACTAGTAGTTACTCTGCAGACTGACATTATAATCTATTTCACATGTGGCTGCTTACTGTTAGAAAGGGTAAATTAAAACTCATCCAGTGTTGTAACAAGTACCTTTCATTTGAGAGAGTCAATCAGCTCCAATCTACAACCATCTTCCTTAAATAACAATAGACAAAACTCAAAACATAATACCGTGAGCATCTCATCATCCAAAGTAAAACACATGATTTGTTAGAAGAGGCTTGTTAATTATTATTACAGTAGAGGCAGAAGCAGTACAAAAGCGTCACTGGAAAATGCAAAGGAATGGAAAGCTAGGAGCATAACCCAGAGAAGAGCTTAGAGACACTTTGTTTCAAGGGTTAGCTGACAGGTTTGGAACAGTGAAAAAGCAAACCCTTTATTCTTGTTTTGTTGATGTGTTTAGAGAAAGAAGGCATTGCACGCTTCTTATAAACAGGATTGCAAATTATATGACTCCATTAGTTTTACTCAAAACATCCTGCCAAACTCAAAACACAATCCTGGGGAAAAAGAGAAAATGGACTGATAATAAATTTTTAATTTAACATTTGGACTTTAAATACAGAATTTGAAAAGATACTCCTAAAACTAGAGGCACAGAAATGGGCTGGCTTTGAGAATTGATCTGTCTCATTCTCAAGTACTTTGCCACAGGAATAACAGTCTTATTAAAATCAAATAGTCACTCTCCATATATTTTTAATAAATGCATAAACCATCTGATACGCATGCTCCACTATCTTATCTGAAGTTTCTAGCTAGAAGTAAAAAGGAGACTATCTCATTGTAACTAACAGTGAGACAATCAAAATGCCCTAGAATGCAAACAAGAACTTGAGTATAAACTGGGCTGTGGTTTGCACACAGCTGTAGAAACCAAACCCACCTATTTAGAGGTGAGGAAAAGCACAACATGCCATGGGTTTGCGACATATTGCTAAGAGATCACACCCCATGGTTTGGGAAGTTGCTTTGCATTCCATATCAACTTTACTTAGCAGCTGGAAAACACAGTACATTCTTCCCCACTTCTGTGAAATATGATGTTAATGCTCTTTCAGAATCTGGAGGGGGTTTAAATGCATTTTGCTTTAAAAAACAATGTTTGGAATCTCCTGTTTCGTAAAACAAAGTAACAAAATCAGTTCTGGAGTTAACAAGAAAATGTGAATTGCCACCTTTTTCATACAGAAAAAGGTACTGCAGAATTGACTATTTAAGTTTTCTGTGTGCGTAGCTTACTACTATTGCCTGAAAGTAACAATCTTAACAGCATATTATTGTAGCTGCGAAGTTGAGCTATGAAAAATTAACAAATGTCAGAATTGAGACTGCTCCTTCTCCTGATTCTTTAAACCAGATCTACATCTCAAGTCCTTAGTTGTCCTGTTTCCCCCTTGCACTAACACATTTAATGAGATGTGTTCCTGTGCTGTGCTTTTGCCTCCACAATGCCCGAGTGCCAAGAAGGGCATCAGTGAGAATATGAGGCACAGGCCTCTACTATTGTTTTCAGTGTTTACAGCTTGAATGAATACATGGAGGAGCAATTGAAGAAGTTCTGCTCAGCTTCTGCAGCCCCAGGACAGAATATGCTTATTGCAGATGGAATTGTGGTAGCTAGTTGTCAGACTCTGGTAAGACTACTTAACTCACAGAATGGAGACACTCAGCGGGAAATTTGTGCACGTTTATGTGGAGATGTCTAAAGCTACAGTCTGCGTGTCTACATGATACATGCTGCAACTATCAGTTTCAAATGCCTGTTCTGAAGACTGGAAGAACTGGTGCTTTTCAAGCATTCTTTTCCGAAGTATGTTGATGCTATGTGGACAACCTTTAATAAAGGCTGTAGTATTCAATGGACATGAGCAACATTCACTTTCCAGCTTTCGTTTGGACCATACTGAGGCAGAATTCACACTGATACTGATTTATAACAGAGGCAAGTTAAAAAAGATTGGCACTGTTTGACTTTAAGAGCAGAAGCATTTTGAATATTGTTATAGGTGGCATTAGGGAAATTTGTTGGTCTCTCAGATGTGTTTACTTTAACAGTGGGTAGCCTCATTGGTTTGCCTGAAGATTTTTGAGGTTTTAGTTTAATAGTTAGTAATCTAGTTTAATATGACTACTAAACTACAAACAATTTATGCTTCTCAGAGGAAAATGAGTTTTCTCTCATGAAAGATTTTCAAGGACCCATTTTTGCAATACTACAGAATAAGATTAACTAGTTAAGACTAATCAATAGCAAGTGATAAATTAGTGTAAATGCAAAGGGTTGGTTAAAGTTATTTACACAAGACCCAGAAGAAAGGACACTAAGAACAGTAGCACACTTGAATATGAACATTTAAAATAAAGTGTTACCTCAGAAAAAAGACAGAGACTTCCAAATGCAGTCAGGGATGCTTTCAACACTTCCATTGCTGAAGTTCTGGTCTGAGAGATCAGATATGCAGACTCAGAGCACTCATCATTTTCTGATGATCATTCCCCAACAAAGGATTAAAATGATTTTGAGTTTCAAAAATAGTTTTGGACCCCATTAGTCACAACTGACTAATATGAGCCAAAGCATAGACTTTTTGCAGGTTTAAGCCAGGGTATGAGTTGTTCTTTAACTTCCTTTGGTATCTCACTGATCTCTGCACTCCTTTCTTCATCCAGGAAGAGGAATACGAATTCTAGACATTTTGAAAGATGGGGAGACCCTCACTTCCTTCTTGCTGGAAGATGTTGGCCTCCCAGATATTGTTGTTTTCCAGCTCATTAATGCTCAAGTGCGCCCTGAACAGGTGAGTAGAGTATAACAGCTATCAGACTGTTATCTGCGTGGAATGCAACCTCTTGAGTTCTATATGCAAAGTAGCCTCAGTGAGGGCCTTTATGCCCAGAATACCTGCTGCCTTATAGGTTGTTTGCACAACTTCTCTCTGTTTTTTGTGTATCTACAGGAAGAGGTGTTTGTTTTGTCTTTAAAAGACATTTTCAATATGCATTAAATGTAGATATTTGGTTCGATGCTGTTGTTGCTCACAAATGGTAAGCATCAAGAAACGATACTCATGACTAAAGACTTGACTCAAAAGCATAAGGCAATTGTGCATCCTTTTGAGACAGCAAAAGTGATGAATAGCAGCAGAGATCTGAGATTCTTAATTTAACATTTAAATTCTCTGCCCCAATTCAGCAGAATAATAATGATAACTTAATGACATCGTCTCACATGAATAGGTGGGAGTGGAGAAGCAGACCCATTTTCTTAGATTCTGATTGAATAATAGATCTGCTCAGAAAATTCAGAGTTGAAAACTGCTGGTCAGATCTTTTCTGAAGCAGCTGAGCAGGGGACTGTGTTTCACCAAGTGCAGGCTGTCTCTGCCTCTGCATGTACTGGTGGCTGGGAGTTCTGCGAGGAATGCTCTATTAATGAATGAATGTTGCTGAATCAGAACTCTGAAACAATTTCTACACTGCGTTAGAGTGTGGGTGGAAGCAAGTGAATAACTGAGGCTGAAAGACACAATTCCTCTTTTTCACTGCCACATAAAATACAAATGCTGGAACTGTGTGTGGCCAGAAAGAGGGAGGGCATTAATGAACTTGCATACAGTTCCTTTTGTGCTCCTGTGACTAGTGGCCAGATTACTTATCTGCTGTATTCTTGATTAGTACCAGGGGAAGCCCTCCCCTCTCTTCGCTTTGTCATGAAGCAATACCACAAGACCATATCAAAGCCAGCATCAACTGATACATCCTGCTTATTTTCACACCTCTTTGTCTGCTGAGATGGTGAAAATTTGCTTCCTTGCTGCTCATGACAAGAAGAATATATGCAGATATCCTGCTGGGTTTCTCCTTCCCTTTCCATCTCTAACCTCTTGTTCATCAGAGATCTGCTGCACCAGGAGAGCTGTGTGCTGCTGTCTTAGTCTCTATTAGCTCCCAGTGGCATTCATTCATCTACTGTTAAAAACTCTGTCTGCCAGTGTATGCAGGACTGAAGTCTGCAACACCATAACTGAAAGTATGATTGAGACCTCCTGAAACATGGTGTCTTTCTGCTGTATTTTCTGGCTGATGTAGAAAGAAATGTAGTTCTCTTTATGCTGGAAATTAAAGAAAACTGAACATCAGTTAGAAAGGAAGCTGGAGGAGACCTGGTGTTAAATACCACTTTTGCTGTTCTCCATAAAGCTTTCTTGTTAGCAGTCATCACAGGAATACGAGATCATCTCACAAGAGCTGATTTACAGCTATGAGGAAAGAAAGTGTGTGAATAATTCCTCCAAGAGCAACTGATGCAGAAAAACTGATCTCATCATTTTCAAAAGACCACAAGACAATTACTTTCAATAGAAATCGAATACTTGATCTCCTATGGGAGATAAATCGCTTAATTCCTTCTTGATGAGCAAGTTACTCAGGCTGGACTCATAGTTGGTTGAGGTAGAAGTTGAAGAGCTGTGACTAGAACCTAGATCTGCGGTTATCTGCAGCCTCAACCATGATAGTTCATCTCTAGTTCTTCATGCTGCTCTACTATCTGTTGGCTTGCATATCACTGTAAGCCCTCTCCCCCTGGCTCTCATGGCACAGAGGTGATCAACCTGAAAGCAACTTGTTTACTAAAGCCAGACTGTTGCCAACAGCTGGCTGCAGATCTAGGTCTGAGCTGCCTGGGAGTGCAGGAAATAACACACAGAGCTGAAAGCTAAACCTGATCAAACAGCCAACTAGCTGAAAAAATAATTTGGACTTCATCTTGCCAGCTTTGGTCAAACAGTGACACATTGATAAAAAAAAAAAAAAGTATTGAAGTTTTCCTCTGAGCGCCTGCTTTTTTGAGTCATTCTAAGATAAGGATAAGAGACTGATGTTAAAACACAATAAGAAGTTCCGGAAAGATTGGCAGCCCACCCTACCGGAAAAATTGGAAGGGTGGAGGTCTGATGTTTTTCTAATCCCATCTGTTCATGAACATTCTTGAAATGCAGTTACAGTTTGTAAATAACCTCTCTTTTTTTTTTTTTTCTGTGTTTAATCCTTCTCAATGATGTTAATGTCACAGTTTCCTCATTTTGCAAGTCAAAACAAGGTTCCCAGGCTGCTTCCCTGCACAGCTCAGTTTCACTGCAGTGCACGCTGGATGATGAGGACCATGTCAGATCAGGCGTATACAGTTCAAAAATGCTGTTCTTTTCACACACATCCCCAGGACATAAATGACTGAGCAAATAAGCACATTCTTTCACTGACATAAAGTCAGTTAAATCCAATTCAAATGTTCTAGTCTGAGGGAGGGTGGAGGTATTTGGTTTTGAAGGTTTTTTGCAAGCCAGGCCATATCTATCAGTTGCATTTCCTCTTTTGCATTCTGCCTCTCTCCACACTGTCCATCTGGCGTTAACGATGCCTTTATATGGGTACAGCTGTAGTGATTGTAGGGACAGTACCTCTCAGATACTTTTATTAGAAATTCACGTTCCTTTTTTGCATCGTTATTCCAATACACAATCTGTGTGTAATTCAGTTGCTTTTTTTTTTTTGTCAACTGCAGCTCCATAAGCTGAAGCTCAGGGCAGTCACAGTAGACAGAGTACAAGATTGTACTAGACTTCTCTTTC